GAGGTGATTGGAGATGGAGTTGATGTCGTTAAATTGGCCAGATCATTGATGAAGAAGCTTAGCTTCGCCACCATAGTAAGTGTTGCTGAAGTGATAACAACGGGGGAGGAAACACCAGCTAATCCAATTCAATGGGCATCAAACAATATTCACCATCCACAGTTTCCTATGCACTATGATGATAGGTACTACGGAAGGCGTTTTTAGTCGTGCTTGGTGTTTAGAGTTGGATTTAGTAAGCCACGTTTTAATGTTTAGGATTGGATTAGATAACTCACTAGATTTAAAGTATATTGAAGAAAAAAATTGAGACTAGCTTTATATCCCCACAAAATTGTAGAATATCAACACCTTCAACTTTCAACTTGAACAAATTTCCAAAGGCAGCCTTCATTTCTTACATTAATCTACCTTAAATCTAGTAGGTATCTAATCCAAAACTATCCAATTCAAGCGTGGCCTTGCTTTTTTAAACAACGTACATGTTTTTTGGATGTACGTTGTTAAACCTACTTGTATACTATTGACTTAAAGAATCAGCTGTATATGTATGGTTTTTACCGTAGGATCTTATAACGTTAGTGGTTAAATAAGTGCGTTGTGGAGCGTCTCTTTATTGTTTTTGTTGCTGTAAACCTTGCTATATATAAATTATGTTATCGTTTTTTAATTTTGTTGATTAGGGTTTATGAAACCTTTAATTTATGATCCACGTATGTTTCCTTTGTTATTTTCCTTATTCACACCTTAAAAGCACCATTTGACCCAACAATAATGAGAAGGGTTAGAGCCAACGACCTAGAAAAACAAAACCCTGAACTGATATATAACCGACTTCTGTTTTAGCGATAGTTGTCTTTACTTGTTGGAATTGGTTTTAGGTTCAACTTATGTAGGGTCAAGGAACATATTTGTGATGTGTTTGATATGGATATGGCTCCATTTTATTTGCGTCACAGCATTACAAAACAATGATTTAAGTTTGATTTTGTCTCCTTTTTACACCTAGCCCAAGTGTAAGAAGTGGCAGCCCATTTTAAAGGCATGTAGAACATAAACTTTATTAGTTGAGAAAAATTGATTCAAACGGCCGACTTTGTATAAATGTGTAAATTGGGTCCAGATCCATAGAAAACACGAATTGGAGTTGGCCCTAAAAAGAAATTAGAAAAGGGAAAAAACTTTCCAGGCGCAAGCTAATAGTGGGTTATGTGGAGTTCCATTCTACGTAACTACTTCCATGCTATGGGATGATGGGCTCTGGAGTATGCTATGACGGTTATGAAATAGAGAACTACATAGTGATTGACTAATTGAAAGTAAACAAACACAAGCACTCCTATATATAGAAAAAAAAAAAAAAAACTAAAACAAACCCTATATCCTATAGAGCATAAGATCATAATCCTTAACACACAAGAAAACTATAAATAATAATAAAATAATTAACTACTTTTCCAACAAGTATGATTCAATAAAATTATTTACCAATGTGTTCAAGTTGGGTTCATGCTTGAGATGGTTTGGTGTAATTTCATAATCAGCTTGAACATCTTGGTACTCGATTCGGCTAGCTAATTTCATTTACAACCTTAGTTAGTGAAGTAATAATAATTTACCTACAAAAGTAACATACTAAAAAAATTGGAGTAATGTACGGAGAGTCATATGTCAAACTAAAAAAAAAATAAAAAATTGGAGGAGAAGGTTTGGTGTGTGTTGTTTGGTCCATATGCACTGGTTTGATGGCTTACCCTAGTGCCAATCACATAAGCATGAAGCAGCAGCCGCCGTTTGCCTCGTTAGTGTTTGCTGACCGAAACCAGTATTATTTGCCTCGTTAGTGTTAGCCACACAATAGATATAATTTTTATATTTTATTATAGAGAATGATTAGTGTTTATTATTTCGTCGTTATATAATTGTTGTGTAGTCTGTCATCAATATATGAATAATATATTGTTCTTACTAAAAAATGATCATTTTTGTAAAATATGTTTATTATAGCTACTTTCTTTATGTTTTACTCTTCAGTTTTGCTTATATTGAAGTTTCATTAGAATCATTTTCAATAAATAAATTTAAAAAAAAAATAGTATAATGCGTTACAAAGTTACCATCTTCCCCTGTGACAACTACCATTCAAAGATTCAAACTTTGACATACAGGTCCGTAGGGGTGCCATGTCCCAATTGTCTTTCTCAATGTTATCATGTAGGCAAATGTCTCTTTCAGTTTTCTGTAACTTGTTTGATCATCTCCATACAATCAACGCCCAGGAAAGAAAGAACTATTATTTGGACTTCTATTAGTTATGATTTAATTTAATTATGAACTCAAGACAAAAGGGTCACTAGATCTCCTTCAATAAACTAAAGTGTTTATTTAGAATTAGAGAAACATAAACAATATTCAAATAAAAGAATGTATAGAATATGCATGCGTAGAAGGTTTGTTGATTACATGGTCTTATATTAGGATATCTAGCTAACTTGTAAGCTTCAACAGAATCTGTATATGGGAACTCGAAATTTCATAGAACCTTGTAGTCACATGGATGCAAATTATAGCTACCCTATACCTACCATTATCTATATAATTAAGTAGAAACTTTTCGATATCAAATGTTTATTAGCTACTACTAATTGTGACTAGGTGTTTCGCCTAATACTAATCATTTTAATGTTCTGCTTAGTTACAAACTCACTCTACTAAGCTTAGAATTCATAAAATCATTAAATCAAATTTAGCTTTAACCACCTTTATCCCGTTGCCCTTTACTGGTTACTAAGCAAATTCTAGTATTGGTTGCTCACAATCAGATGCAATCGCGCACCCATTTTTACCTTTCACAAATTTTTCTAAATTTTCATCTATCTTCATCTATCGGATGGTATGAAGATGATCAAAGGGCAGTCAATGTATCTATCATATGGTAATAGACATGGTAGGGTAATTATGCCTCATTCTAGAAGATGGACTCAGTCCATGCTCACCATCATTACCCATATATATCAAATCTTCAAAGGTAATGTAAGTTGCAAAAAATATGTACCTCTTTTGATCACGTTACATTTCTCAAAGATATGAGATCTACTTGCATACATAATTCATGTGTGAGAGACACATGATGAACGATGCAGATTCAAGATTTTTCTTTACAAGAACAAGATGAAGAAACGATCATATATTTTTACAGAAAAAGAAAGTTCACATTACTCAACTTCGCAACTGCTTGTTTACACAACCTATTTAACGCACTTTATCAAACATTCTGCCCTTAGTTAGCCTCGTAGTTGGGCAAATAATGAAAACCCTATTTGAGCGGGATAACTCGAACCCGGTGTGCGAGAGAATGTTTCACGCACCAGACACGAAGTTATTTTGCATCAATTCCGAATCCGAGACGTGACACCCCCTCTACTAATCCGCCCCCATCATATATGTCAATTTCCAACTTGTTCACATTTCTCAACCCAAACAAGTAAAAACAACCCAACTTTCGTTGTAAAACAACCCAATTTTCGTTTTCTGTGAAAAAATCATCAACTAGTCTATAATCCCAATTGAGTGTCCTACATATACAATTAATTTTTGGTGTTAATCCACCAATTTGGTCTGTTGCCTACGTATGTGGCTCATGATTCATCCCACTAGCATGCATAGTGTGTGTGCCTTATTTTACATAGAGGAAAGATGGATTAATAAGCCAAGTTACTTGCAATATTGGGATGCTTTATAAGGATTCGAGTTTATATGTCCCACACAAAGATACCTTTCTTGTCGACTTATATTGTATGCCCAAGCTTCCAATCAAAGAATTTTCATTTCCTAATAATATAACAAGAGGAAACAAACGAACCCAAGATTCCAACCCTTCCTAATCGATGCCCCCACCCCCACTTTGCTTTCTCCCTCTCTTAATTATCTTTCTAATGTTCTCTCCCTACAAGAAAACTATCAATTGTTTTTACTTTATTTTATCAGGATTCTCTTTCCATATCGCAAATTAGTTTTATAGTGAAACCTTAACTTTCTTCATAGTATCAGAACCAACTAGGTTATTTCATGTGTGAAACCCAACGGCCACACGCGTTCCACGTTACTCGAGTTGTGTTATATGCGTGTTAGGTTTGAAAATTTATCACATGTGAAGGGGCGTGTTGAGAATGAATCGTCACATTCTCACACCCCTCCTATTCGAACGGTCACAATTAAGGCATATCAACATCTAGTGTTGACTTTTTTTTAGAGAGAGAAAAAGATAAAAGTGAGATAGAAGTTGAGGGGAGAAGGGAAGAAGAGATTTGAAAGGGAGAAAATTGTACTCTATTTTATTAAGTAAATCATGTTCAATTACATTAGTAAGTAGATATCAGTATTCAGGATATGGTCCAAAAGATTTAATGGCTGATGGCGTGTGGTACCATCAAATAATTTAAAGTGTAGGCATAAATTCCATTGGATTTGCCTATTAGTTTGCACGTCCTTTTCCTTTTCCTTTTTTCCTTTTGGATATAATGAGACTACCAATAATAATATACTTGTAAATTGTGATTTGTGACTCATGAGTTTTAACTTCAAAGTCACCACAGAGCTAACATACCTGAGGTGATGAGCTAAACATCCTAAAAATACATAGCCAGAAGCTTACAAAATGAAACTACCAAATCATTACTATTCTAGACACTTATCCTTTTCTTGACGTCTTAATTTACAAAAACATATTCTCTTCCAAATAGTATAGATATCCGGTCAAAATGATCGTCATGACAAATGGCTCGCACACAATAAAAGAAAGTTTAGGAAAAAGAGTTATTTATATAATATTTGTACCTACACTGTAAGTGCTTTTATCATAAACACTTTGAATTTTTTATGAAAAACCCTAGTGCTCTCGAAAGTGTTTTCAAATTGCAAGTTTTGTCAAACATCGACATAACAATAAATAAGCTAGGACATTACTCAAAAGTATAAGATGCTTTGCTTCAAAGCACCAAACACCCATGCAAACAAACCAAGAATCCAAGCTTGTTTGCTTAATTAAAAAAAAAAACCCCACACCCACGCACATAACCCATCACATCCTCTCCTCAACCAGTTTGTAATCCAACAAACCACCCCCATACACGAGAAGCACCTCTCCCTCTCTATAGGCCCCTGCCCCATTCCCTCTCCCTCCCTCCCTCCCTCTCTCTCTCTCTCTCTCTTCCAAAACAAAGCTTCACTATCAATGGCGTAAGAAACAACCAAAGCAAAGCTTGCGTGCCAGAAACCATTGAAAAATCGCAACCTCAGGAGATTTAAATAACAAAGATTAAAACCCATATCCAAAAAAACTTTATCTTCTCCTGAAAATTTTGAAATTTTTCACACTGATACAGTAGAAACAGAGGAAAAAACAGAGTCAATCAGTGGGAGAGACAGAGGGAGAGAGAGACCAGAACGGTGTCGTTTTGGGCTCGTGGCACATGCTAATGAGAAGTAGCCAGCATTGTGGGAATTGTCAACCTGGGAAAGCCGGGAGAGCATCTGTTGGAGGGTATTTTCGACTGCATCCATGAAATCACGACGGCTCTGGCTTTCTCTGCTGCTAATAGGATGAGCGATTCAGCTTACAGAGTCGAAACCACGTCGCGCCTCGCCCAATGGAGAATCGACAACTTGTCTTCCTGCACATACCGAAAGTCCGATCCTTTCAAGATTGGCAAGTGGAATTGGTCAGTCATAAATTTCTTCCATCTTTTTTTTCTTCAAGTTTTCATTTTCTTTACCAATTTCCTCGATTTAATTCAAATAATTGATAAGAAGCTTAATCAAGAATTACCCTTTAATCTTTCAATCATATATATGATAATCTGATTGGTAGCTGGGAATTTTGGTTTGTATATTTTCTGGGATTGAATAATTTTTAACCTTTTTTTTCCTACTTTTTTTTTTTTTTTTTTTTTGGGGTTTGAAATGAAGGCACTTATCTGTGGAGAAGAACAGAGTGTTGTTTGTTAAATTGTATCCAGAGATATCGAATTTCACGAGAGAGAATCCGCCGATTGCTTCGTTTATTATTCGAGTGGTGTGTTCTGTTGGTGATCGAAAGGCCTTAACTCATCCAGGTAATGGAATAGATATGTTATCCATAATGTGTTGATATTATTGTCACCAAAACGTAGCAGCATGTTATTAGTGTGTAGATACAATATCGATGCATGTCCGTTCTTTACGAGAGAATTTCTGTGAGGATTAACTCGAATGCCGGCTTTTAAGATGTCGTTCCTTTTCGGTTTTTTAATAGACTCTATCTTTGTTACGTATGTTTTAGAAGTTACAAACAAAAAGCTCAAAAGCAATGATGATTTTGTTTGGGCTATTGAGGTTCCCTTAACTGGAAAATTCATCATCGACGTTGAATTCCGTGATTTGAAGACTGCGTCCGGAGAGGTAAGCATCTTTATTGCTGATCTCTTCCAATTTTTTTGTTAATACAACATTGATGAAATTTGCATAGAGCCAACAAAATCACGTTGTTCTTACGGAACTGATCGGTTAGTGTAAGCAAAAGTGTAGGTGCTGGTTTTACCGTTCCTAATTTGACAATGATTTTGCCATTACATGTATAGGGTGGAGAACCTTGCTCCATTTGGGCTGGAGGATCAACGCAAAAACAATCAAATGCAACTGCTCTTGCGTCCCTGAGTCGAATGTTAACAGAAGGCATCCACACGGATATCATGATTAACGTGTCTGATGGAAGCATCGGAGCTCACCGGGCAATTCTTGCTGCTAGATCACCTGTTTTCCGGAGCATGTTTTCGCATGACCTCAAAGAGAAAGAACTGTCTACCATAAACATCTCCGATATGTCAATTGACGCTTGTCAGGCTTTTCTTAATTACATTTATGGAAACATAGGACATGAAGAATTTCTGACCCACAGGCTGGCACTTCTCCATGCTGCTGATAAGTACGACATCTCTGACCTGAAAGACGCCTGCCATGAAAGTCTTTTGGAAGACATTGATACAAAGAATGTGCTAGAAAGGCTCCAAAATGCATCTCTATACCAGTTGCCTCAATTGAAAACCAGCTGCATGCGGTATCTTGTGAAGTTTGGGAAGATATATGACATCCGAGATGATTTCAATGCTTTCTTGCTATGCGCAGACAGGGACTTGATAGCAGAAGTCTTCGGCGAAGTTCTTGGTGCCTGGAAAGGTTTCTGAAGTCTGCAAAAATTAAAGAAGTCATAAGCGTGGCTTCATATCTGTCCTACCTATAAATATGTGGATTGCTAGTAAAATTAGTGTCCAGGATTTGTTGTCATGATGATTCTTTAGTGCAGATTGAATTTTTTTTATGTCTTCATGTACGTATATATTGGCTCTGAACTGATGACATAGGAGTCGTCATCCGTGTTACAGAAACATAAATTCTTGGATTCAACAATGAAATTTGAATGATTTATATCTTGTTCTGTTCCTGTTTTTTTTTTTTCCAGATAACTGGGGCCAAGTGAGTTGATATGTGCATACTGAAATTACTTCACCATGTTTTCCATCTATTCGGGATCAATTGAACAAGAACCTAGAACAAAGATTTCATCCAAATTTTAACAAAATACAATCCAACTTTATGAAATGATATCGACCAATGTCAAACAATATGGTCGAAACTGTATTCAATGGGGGCGAAAGTAAGCATATATAATTTATGGGATCAATATTAGTTTTCACCAAAAAAAAGAGACAAACATTTGTTTGCTGCATAAAATGCAAACATATTCCTACTCTGATATCAGAGAGTTTAGTAAGCAACATCAATGTGAATTCAGAGTCCGACAACTCAATCCAACTCTTCATCAATCCGATTTCTCCTCACCCAGGACTACGGATTAGTAATAATGTCATTAATGTAACGCTAAGGAAAGTAATGAAGACAGAATAGTATAGAAATCCTCCTTTTTACTCAAGTCTTAAAACTCAGCATGAGCAAAGCAACCACAAGGGCAACTGGGCAAGTTTCAAAGCAAAGTTGCTTACCTTGGAGAGAAGCTCTCATTTGGGGTTCTCCCTTCTTCTTTCTAACGTTGATGTAAAGTAAGGGATGCATAAAAATGAGAGCTTGAATTATTGCTCGCAAACCATGACAGAAGAACACCTTCTGGGAGCTGCTTTTTATATGCATTTGCTCATGGAGAGAATATGGAAAGAATATATTAGGACGATCCTTTTGTTCTCTTTTTTATTTTTGGGGTGGGCTACATGATAAAATGGACTTTTTGGGCGCTTGGAGCCTTCAAATATATCTATCTATAAGGCCAGTACAAACTCAATAATGAACTCTTCTAACATCCAGCCCAAATTATTACAAAGAGAAATGGAGAAAGGTGTCAATAGGTCGTGTTCTAGTTTATTTATTTACATATATGCCGTGTTTATGTCAACTCAGTTAATCAACAACATGCATGAAGATATAAAAACAATCATACAACTCAGACTATTCATAAGAAAAATGAGAAAACTATCAATTAGTAATACTAATATCAGTGTTTTTTGTCAAATAATACTAATATCAGTTAAACAATATTGTATACATCAAATGTTATATTTTATAATGTGTCGTGTTTGAATTTGTCATCATTTGTATCATGATTTTAAAGTTTTATTGTTGCCTTTGTTTCTTTTCCTTTCTGTTTACCATTTTGGTGAATGAAGGGTCTCATCCTACAAAATAGGATGTGAAATAATATGATCATTTTACTAGTTGGAAAACGATAAGTTCCCACCCTAATAAAATAGACTTCTCAATAGGAACAAAAAAAGAAATAGATTCCTTAGCAGCAGACAAACGTCAATGTGTTAGGTTCTCCTTTGAGGGGAGGCTTGGAGTTATGGCCACATGTTAAAGCAAGAAGGTTACTGAAGGCTAGAAAAGCTTGAAAGCATTGTTTTCTACGTTCTGCCAAGTTTTAGCGTCCCGCAACCCATAAGCTATGCAGCATTTGGAACATGTAATAGGCAAACCTTTTTTATATTCAAAATAAATAAAAAACATTAGTATGAGAACGAGTCACTTAATACTATGGTCTAGTAGTATTTTTTCTTTATTTATAAGTAAGAAATCTTAGGTTTGGATTTTACGACTTGCGAATTAGATACTGATTTGTTCTTCCCATCTCTTAGTGTAAATATATTATTGTATTAAAAAAAAAGGAATTTTAACGAAAAGCTCCCGGTACTGTTCACTTTAACGAAAAACCACATTTTTACACTAAAAAGTCAATCCTAGTACTATTCACTTTACCATTTATTTTGTCCTTATTATTAAAACTCAAAGTTTTCAAGCATCTTTCATTAGCTTTCCTTAGAAAATATATATATGAAAAGATGAAAACTGTAAAAGTTCTTATCGTTAAAACTCAAAATTTTCAAGTATTTTTCATTAGCTTTTCTTAAAAAATATATATGAAAAGATGAAAACTGTAAAAGGGTTAAAGATATATATTAGTATAGGGTCGAACATGGGAGATCATTTTGGTCTGAAAAATGGTGAAAGGGTTTAGATGTTCGTTGGTTAAAATAACATACAGGTCATTCAAGTGGGTCAGTGCAAGACATTTCGCTAAACAGTCTTTCTCTGTATATGATCTCTTTTATTTTTTAAAGACATGATATATTGAGAAAATCTCACGTTTACTTAAATTTTTTTATCACAGATATTCAATTGAACTATGCATCAAATCATCACACAACTTGCTCAATTTTCTTCAACATTGATCCCATTTATTGACACAATTGTTTGTTTACGGTATAGACTTTAGATTTCTAGTCTCATATTAATTAATCAATTTAATCTTGTAGATTTTATATCCACTAATAATAGTGGCTCTAAATTACCTTTCTATGAATTTATACCCTTTAAAAAACAACTGTGTCAATAAATAAGTCTAAGTTGAAGAAAATAGAGGAAAAGCTAAGTTTTCTCAAGACACCTTTAACAAAATTGGGAGTAATTTAGCTCAACCTAACACCCATAAAACGTGTACATAAAACTAAATCAAAAGGCTAGTCTAATTGTTCTCTTGCTAGATCGTCTTGTTAGATTAAATTAAAAGGAACCTCCCGACTTTTCGGCGAATTTATTTTAATTGAATGTTAAGGTTGATCTGTGTGAGGGCTATTTCCTTATGCTTGTATGGTGTAATCTAAACTTTTTTTTAAAAGAAAAACTAACGAAAAGTCTAAAAAAAATTTCCTTTAATGAAAAGCCCTTTTTAAATGTATAGTGAATAGTATCAAAAAAATGTATAAATGTGATTTTTCGTTAAAAGTGAACAGTACTGAAAATGTTTTGTTAAAACTTTCTTTTTTAAAATGAAATTTTATCATTGCTTTTCAAAAAAAAAAAAAAAAAGAGCTAGTCTAAATTCTAAATTTCTAATGTTCAAGAGGATCCTTGAGAGCCTCATGATGTGTCATGCAGCAATCATAAACTCTCATTTGTCTAAAACTGGACTACTTTATCCTTATATCAGAATGATGAAGACGTTTTTATCTATTTTGGCAAACCTAGTTGAAGGTTTGCATTCCCCAAAGCAGAAGTTGTGTTTTTTTTTTAGTACATCAATTTTTTTACATTCTTACGTTAAAAGGAGGGGGAGTTCGTATTGAACTAAACATGGTAAATACCAATATTAAACTAAACATGGTAAATACCAAAAATATATATATGACAATATTTGGGAATTTCTAATATATTCATTAATCTCCAAAGTGGAGTATATATAGGAGTTATAATTGGTATTACATATATACTTCACCAATGTGTGACAATAAACTACTATTTACACTCTAACTAATATATAACTCGTAACACTCCCCCTCAAGTTGGTGCAAAGATGTCACGCATGCCCAACTTGTAAAGCTAGTTGGAAAACACACTATTAGACACAGCCTTAGTAAGAGCATCAGCAAGTTGATCTTCAGATCTCACAAACAGAAACATAATAATTTCAGCATCCAATTTTTCCTTAATGAAATGTCGATCAATCTCTACATGTTTTGTTCGATCATGTTGCACTAGATTATGAGCAATCTCAATAGCAGCCTTGTTATCACAATGAAGTTTCATAGCACCTTTGGGTTTAAACTCAAGATCTCTCAACAATTTTTTCAACCACAACAACTCACATACACCATGCGACATACCATGAAACTCAGCTTCTGCACTTGACCTAGCCACCACGTTTTGTTTCTTGCTTCTCCAAGTAACTAAATTACCACCCATAAACGTAAAGTATCCAGATGTAGATCGCCGATCAGTGATAGAACCTGCCCAATCTGCATCTGTATACCCTTCGACATTCAAATGACCATTCTTGGAGAAAAACAGGCATCTGCCAAGAGCCATCTTCAAGTACCTCAAAATACGGGTTACTGCATCCATATGAGCTTCACTATGTGAGTGCATAAACTGACTTACCACACTAACTGCATAAGCAATGTCAGGACGAGTGTGAGACAAATAAATTAATCTCCCCACAAGCCTCTGATACCGTTCCTTATGAGTAGGAACTTGATCTGGAAATAAACCCAGACGATGATTCTGCTCAATCAGAGTATCAACAGGTTTGCAATCTAACATACATGTTTCAGCTAACAAATCAAGAACATATTTCCGTTGAGACAGAAAAATACCATGCTTGGATCGTGTAACCTCGATTCCAAGAAAATACTTCCATTCACCCAATTCTTTCATCTCAAACTCAGTAGCTAGGTACTTTTGAAGACGTTGTATCTCCTCTGATCATCACCAGTCACTATCATGTTATCAACATAAATAATCAATGAAGTTAGCTTACCATTTTGTCGCTTTAGAAACAAAGTATGATCTGAATGACTCTGGATATACCCAAACTTCTTCATTGAACTTGTAAACCTCCCAAACCACGCTCTAGGAGATTGTTTCAAACCATACAAGGCCTTTTGTAACCTGTATACAACACCTTTTCTAGGAGATGTTCCAATACCAGGTGGGAGATCCATATACACTTCCTCCTTAAGATCACCATGAAGGAAATCATTCTTAACATCAAACTGCAACAGAGGCCAATCCTGGCTTGCTGCTAAGGACAGAAGAACACGCACAATATTAAGTTTGGCAACAGGAGCAAATGTTTCCTGATAGTCCACCCCATAGGTTTGAGTATAACCCTTAGCAACTAATCTAGCTTTATACCGGTCAATAGAACCATCTGCTTTGTGCTTAATAGTAAACACTCATCTACATCCAACGACTTTTTTTCCGTTTGGTAAAGGAACCAAATCCTAGGTAGAATTCTTTTCCAAAGCTTCCATCTCAACTTGCATGACATTTACCCACTTAGGGTCAGACAAAGCATCTTACAATTTTGTTGGAATTGATACATTAGATAGCTGAAATATGTAAGATGCATATGGTTTGGATAAAC